CCAGGAACTTGTAATAGGGCAGCTTAACATTGAAACATGCATCCAGATTAGAAATCATTTGATCAAACCCCATTATCTAAAATGTACACTATAATCTACTTCCAGCTATAGGGGAACATGAAACCATTTTTCAAAAGATTACAGCCTTGATTTTGCATAGAGGGTATTGAGTTTATGTTAATAGTTGTAGAATAATTTGGAAAAGGGTAGTGAAAATGGTTTCACAGCTTGAAGAATATAATCAGTGTCACAAATTATACACATAGAAATTGTTGAATTGGTGTATGTTTGTTGTGTATATTGTACCACAATAAAAAATAAAATAAAATTTTAAAAAGATGACAGCCTTGACGAAAATGCATAACACATTGGTTACTTGAATCCCTACTCCTCAGTATAAACAGACCAGGAAGAGGTCTTGCTGGTTGAAATAATGGCTTCTCCAGGCAACATGGACCATTTCTTTTCATCTTGACAAGCTGATTTCTGCTCTTGTTCTACCCTTTATTTGTGAGTCCCTTCTTTCCTCTCTCCTCATCTCTCTCTCTCCCTTTTGTCTCCCTCTCCCCCTCCCCAAATCATTAATTCTCTGCCTGGAAAAATCCTACTTATCCCTTTGTGCCTGGCCCCATCCTCACCTTTCCCCAAACCTCCCAGGCAAAACCCGTCACTGCCAGGTAACTGTGCTTCTTTTTTCCCTGGTCTAGTAGCAGATGGCTCTGCCCCTCTTCCCTGAGAGCTGCTTGACATAGACTGGGCTTCTAACTACTGACAAAAAATGCCTGCACATGGCAGGAATTCAACAAAGGCTTAAGGGTTCAATATGATTTCTAGAAAGTGAGAGAACTTTTTCTTTGGTAATAATGATGCCAGCCATTTTTGTGAGTGCTCACTATGTTCCAAAAAACAATACTCAGTACTTCCGTGCTATCTCATTTATTCTCAAAAGCAGATGAGGGCATTGAGACTTAAGTAAATTAAATAACTTAGAAGGTTGCACAGCTGGGAGGGGCTTCAGGATTCCATCTGTCTGTTGTCTGTGATGCACACCAGTAGGACATCACCTGCAGTCTAGTATGGATTGCCTTTTTGTACATCTTTTCCCCTAGTGGGAGCCAACTCTGTGGTGACCTTTGGCAAAGTCAACTGAATCTACCTCCTCTGGGGTCCACCGTGCCACCATCTTGCTAACGTGAACGTTTGCTGTACCAGAGATACCACTGAGATAAGGATCATTACTGTAAATGACCTTCTCTGGTTTTGACCATGACTAATGAAATCAAAAAAGGAGCGCAGTGGTGCAATGGTTAAACACTCAATTGCCAGCCGAAAGGTTGGTGGTTCAAACCCACTCAGCAGCTCCACAGGAGAAATAGCTGGGAATCTGCTCCTGTAAAGATTACAGCCAAGAAAACTCTATGGGCAGTTCTACTCTGTCACATGGGTTTGCTATGAGTTGGCAGCACCTGACAACAACAACAATGATATCAATAGAATTGTCCTCAATACTATATAAAGAGAATATCTTTTACTTCTTTAAATTGTTCTGCTACATAATTTGTTCAAAGAAGATATAATAAGGGATCAAATGGCTTATAGCTATATTCATTCCAAATTGAGTATTTCTTTAAAAAAAAGTTTTTAATTTGTCAAAAGTGTATCAACAGTCATCAAACTTTTTTATATTCCTTGGCCCCATAACCTCACTCTAGGGAATTTATTCCAAGAATATAATTTGAAAGAGGTTAAAGATCAGATGCACAGATATTTTCAATGCAGCATTATTTATATTGGAAACAAGCCAAATGTGCAATAAAAGGGGGAACAACTTTGCAAATCTTGGTACATAAACTTAACAAAATTATAAGCTGTCCTTTATAATCATAAATTGTGAAATTTTTCGGTTCAGTGAGAAAATTCCTTGATAATTTTAAAGAAAAGGAGCAGACTACAAAATTCCCCCTAAAATTGTAAAGGCATATGAAGTATTAAAAGAAATCCATAAAGAATTAGAGCAACTGATTGATATATTCAGGGTTTGAAATTGTGTGTGAAATTGTACTTTTTATTTCCTTAATCCTTGCTAAAATGTATATATTCATTGAAAACCAGGGACAGTTATCCTTCTTTGTTCACATTTTAAATGTTTTTGATGTATACATTAGTAAATTTATTTAGTGACAATTCCCAACTCTGCTGTAAATTATACCCTTGGTTATACTGCCAGCATATAATGCATATTTTATAAATGTTTACTTTTTATTGCATTAATAGTATTTCTTTCCTGGAGAAGTGTGCTTCTCAAATTTTAGTATGCATTCATCTCACGTGGGAATCTTGTTAAAATGTCAATTCTGATTCAGCAGGTCTGATGATAAGTTCCCAGGTCCTACAGCTCTTCTTTGCATAAGATGATGCTTCTGACCCAGTGTTCATAGCATCATCTTGAAAGGCAATGTTAGATATTCCCTCTACTAAGAGCAATGGTTAAGTGGTCGGCTGCTAACCAATAGGTTGACAGTTCGAACCCACCCAGCAGTTCCATGGGAGAAAGACTTGGCAGTCTGCTCCCGTAAAATTGTTGTTGTTGTTAGGTGCCACTGAGTTGGTTCTGACACATAGCGACCCTGTATACAACAAAACGAAACACTGCCTGGTCCTGCACTATCCTCACAATCATTGCTATGTTTGAGTCCATTGTTGCAGCCGCTGTGTCAGTCCACCTCGTTGAGGGTCTTCCTCTTTTTTGTTGACCCTTTACTAAGCATGATATCCTTCTCCAGGGACTGATCCCTCCTGATCACATGTCCAGAGTACGTGAAACAAAGTCTTGCCATCCTCACTTCCAAGGAGCACTCTGGCTGTAATTCTTCCAAGACAGATTTGTTCGTTCTTCTGGCAATCCATGGTATATTCAGTATTCTTCGCTAACACTATAATTTAAAGGCATAGATTCTTCTTGGATTTTCCTTATTTGTTGTCCAGCTTTCCCATTCATATGAGGTAATTGAAAATACAGTGGCTTGCCTTAGGCGCACCTTGGTCCTTAAAGTGGCATCTTTGCTTTTTAACACTTTAAAGAGGTCTCTGGCAACAGATTTGCCCAGTGCAATATGTTGTTTGATTTCTTGACTGCTGCTTCCATGAACGTTGATTGTGGATCCAAGTAAAATGAAATCCTTGACAACTTCATCTTTTCTCCATTTATCATGATGTTGCTTATTGGTCCAGTTGTGAGGATTTTTGTTTTCTTTATGTTGAGGTGTAATCCATACTGAAGGCTGT